GGAATTCGTGACATAACAAAAGCACTCCAAAAGAAGTATCTGAAGAGCTGATGTGGCCTGGCCCTGGTCCTGACTCTCGGCTGAAACCCAGCCTGGGAGAGTGAAGGGAACAGGGGTTGTGACACTCATGCCAGGTCCTGTATGGAGTGAAAAAACAGGGTCCCCCTGTTTAGAAGATTTCTCAAACCGACACTCAGAAGAGAGCCCAGCAATCTGTCCTCTTCTGCCTCTGCCTAACATCAAAACCCTCGCTCCAAAGTGCCCTTCAAGGCCGAGTAAGACATTCTCTCCCTAGGAATCTGAAACAAGACAAGGGAAGAGGGGAAGAACACTTTTCCTTTTATAAATGTGCTTTAATTTGTCAAAGAAAAAAAGGATGATCTGAAGTCACAGCTTGTCATGACATGGGCTCCGTTCTGGGAGGCGGAACATGGCGTTCTGGTTTAGGAGCAGGAAGGGTTCAAAGCCTGCTTCTTCTAAACCAAACACACTAAAAGAGAACAATGTGGAAAGAGAGGCCGTTGCCAGGATGTGGAAGGTTTGAGTACAGAGCATCAGACGTAGGCACCTTCCTGGTATCTCAGTGTGCAAACCGTTGCTCTCACACGGGCTTGTTTAACGATCTCCAATCTGGGAGTGGAGAAGCAGAAGGGTCCCAAATTAACGTCATGCTTCCCCTTCACTTGGAAGTCTGATTACTTTTTAAAGAAGACTTATTTTTGGTGTGTTTGTTTTTGTGCGCGCGCTCATGCATATGCGCTCATGTGTACACAGGATATTTTCATCTTGCGTGTGTGTGTGTGGTTGCTGTGCCTGCTTTTGTCCGTCCACCACGTGCGTGCAGTGCCTGAGAGAACCAGGAGAGGGCGTTGCATGCCCTGGAACTGGGGCTAACACTTGAGGCCTATCATGTGGGTCCTGCGCACCTGCCTGGGTCCTCCTGAACAGCAGCCAGTGCTTTCAAACCCTGCGCCACCTCTCCAGCCCTTCAAAGGCTCACTTTCTGTGGAATATTAACCAGGAAGAGGACGAACACACGGATGAGGAGCAATGCCCAAGAGTCGACATCAATACAAGATAAAGGTGTATTCGTAGATGAAGTTACCGTACATAGGGTACATCGGAAAGCTGCGCAGCTCTGAAAGTGCCGGGAGCCAGGGTTGGAGCAGAACGGGAAAGGGATGGCTCAGTCCATTAAGAGCTGGAAGGGTGAGTACCAGAGCTGGAATCCCCAGTATCCCTGTAAAGGGCCGGGCGAAGCTGTGTCTGTAAATCCCCACGCTAAGGAGACAGAGGAAGGAGCTCACTGGCCAGCTAACCTGGCTGAATCCCTGAGCTCCAGGCCCTGTGAGACTGAGGGGCAAAGTGGAGAGCCACTGGAGTAGACACCTCGTGTGGGGCTCTGGCCGCCACACTCTCCCACACGTACATATGCGTGTGCACAGATCCACATGCAGAAGAGTGGGGGTGTTTTCACAGTGGTACCCTGGCAAGGGGGTACTTAGGCCGCAGCTTAGGTAAAGGAGTCTGACTTTTCCCCCCTCTTACACAACCGTCAGTACAGCTCGATGATTTGGCATGTTTGAGACAGGGTCTCATTATGTAGACCTGCCTGGCCTAGAACTTACCATGTAGATCAGGGGTCTCCCACCCAACTCATAAGCCTGCTTCTGCCTCCCAAGTTCTGGGATTAAAGAAGTTTACTACCTTTGAGTTGTTGTTTGTGTTTTGTTTTTTGTTTTATTTATTTATTTATTTTAGTAATTTTTGAGACAGGGTTTCTCTGTGTAGCCTTGGCTGTCCTGCAACTCATTCTGTAGACCAGGCTGGTCTCAAACTCAGATCATGCTGCCTCCGCCTCCCTCGTACTGAGAGTAAAGGTGTAGATCAATCACCACCACTTTGAGTTTTATCCTGCGTGTATCTGAGAGAGAGTTGTGTTTTGTTTGAGACTAGGTCTCTCATGCTGTGGCCGTTCTTGCCTCTGAAAAGTGAGGATTACTGAAATGTACAGAAATAGGCCACCATGCCTAACTTAGGCTACGTAGTGAATTGCAGGTCAGCCTGGGCTATAAAGTGAGACTATCTCAAAACACACGTACACAGACACACACACACACACACACACACACACACACACACGGTCAAGCCACCACCACCCCTGCAAAGGGAGAAAACTAAATAATATAATGATTTAAGTTTTGCACGGCAAAGGACTTCATACACTGCAGATCAGTCCACTCTGCTGTTTCAGGAAGTCACATTCAGGGATGGCAGCAGCTCCTTCCCATGTGCCCACAGTCCTCTCAGTCCCTATATACAGATCGTAGAAGATGGAGGCTCAGCTAGGAGGGGAGTGAAACTGGGCTCTTCCCAAAGCTGCTGAAGACAGGCCCTGTTCCTCTCTGCGGGGACCAGCACGCCTTCCTCCCTGGAGTGTGCAGTTGGAGGCAACAGATGCTCTGGCAAGATCCAGAGAGCTGCCATCTGCGAGGAAAACCTATTCTTAGAGAGCAGAGCCAGTCGGTGGTGGAGCCGGCCACCCCCAGCAGTGGAGGAGGGATGTCAGGGCAGGAGGCCAAGGCTGGCTGGGGAGAAGGGCAGGCTAAACACAGGACACACTTATTTCCCACAACCAGCTTCCTCCTGCGATTGTTCCATTGGACATGGAGCAATGTTTATTGAATGCTCACTTTTACACATATCACAGCACGCCCCTACAGACAAGACACAGATGGCTAAGTCACTTAATAGATCACGCCTTGAGCCAGACAAGCTGCTTCCAAAGCCCTTGTCCCTTGCGACCATGTATCTCGCCTCTTAGTCTATGGACCAGTGGCCAATTTTAGTTTGGGTTCCCCCAATAGTAAACCCCAAGGTAAGGATTCGAGGGGAGTGATGTAATGGGAAGTGTTCCCAGGAGGCAGTGGCTGAGGCATGAGGGAGATAGTTTCCCGTGTGCACCTGGAGTCCCATCCTGCTAGGAGCTCCAGCAAGCAGCTCACAGCGTGTGGAGGCTCATCTGCTCTGAAGGCTGGGAGCAGCTCACGGTGGTGTTTCTTAGCACTGGGTTGGTGCTCAAGGGGCAGTCTTTATCCCCAAAGCTTCAGGCCTGCTGCAGAGGGTGAAATAGGCACCAGCCCTCAGGCCAGGGACACAGGAGTGGCAACTGGGACAGAGGAGAGGATGGCAGAGTTCCCCACCATCTGCTCCAATGAACCTGCCTGGCTATGGTCGGCCTTCCTGCAATCTGGAGCTTGTGCGCCTTCCAGAACCAGCGGAGTAGGAAGCTCATTCAAACCGTCTGCTCTGAACTTTGCAGTCAACTGCAGTAGCTGAGAGCATTGGGGGAGTCAGACACAACCCCACCTCCACTACCCCGGAGCTCTACAGCTCATCAGCTACCTGAGCCAACTCTTGGTCCTGCCACTCACCCCTCCTTCAGCACTCTGGCTGAGGCTCCTAGCACAGCAGCCACAGTGTGAGGAACTGGGAGGATGTGCACAATCTAGGACCCATCCTAGATCCTCTGGTCAGAAATTTTACTGTATTCAGTTGTTTGTTGGCTTAGTTTTGTGAGAGGGTCTCATGTGGTCTGGGCTGGTTTCCAGCTTGCTACATAGCAGAAGATGACCTGGAACTCCCATCCTCTGGCCTCTGCTCCCCAGGTGCTGTGAATACAGGTACGTGTCTCCATGCCTAGGTAGGAGACACGTACCTATATTCACAGCACTTGCACTGAGAAGCTATCCAGTGACTCACGCAGATCTCTGCCAGTCATTTCAAACACATAAAAAGACAAGAGGGAAGGGCCTATCGTGAGTAACGTCCTGCACTAAACCAAGGGTCTCAAATTGGCAGCCTCTGGCCCAGGCTTTCATGAGAGCTGTTTTGATTCTCCAGACTAACGGTTTTTAAAACCCCCACCTGGCACACGATTCTCCAGGTCACTGTGACCCATTCCCCCTGTGGCATAGCACTCCAAGCACTTCCAGTTATGCACCAAAAGCTAATGTGCACATCTGGACTGGTTTCAAATGCCAGAATCTATAACCAATGACGGCAAAGCATGGCTGAGATTTTCTAGGTTTAAAATGAGGCACTGAAGGAAACACGGGCCTGGAAATCAGGCAGACAGTTCAAAGCATTCACGAGGCCCTTTCATAGTAGCCATGTTACTTTAGGCAAGTTAACGCCTCTCTGACGCCCTTTCCACATCTGGAAAACATGGATCAACACATATCCTTGCAAGGTGACTGTATGGATTAAAGACAACCAGGCCCAAAGCAACCAGGAGAAAGTAGAAACTTGCTGGGCGGAAGTAACTGGTAATAGCGGCACAGGTGTCATAAAGCATCCAATGTGGGAATCAGGAATCTGTGATTACCCTCATTTCTGAGGCTTGAGGTGCTGAGGGGTGCCGGGCTCAGGCTGTCTTTAGTTCCAAATTTTCATTGTGTAGTGGAACCTTCTGTGCGGATAGCTGTGCTACTTGATACATGCAGAACACAGCTGCCAGTGCTGAAGACGCAGGGCAAGAAAGGCTGTCGTTAATCCTTCATATTACTATGTGTTGCAATGCCACAGCTTCGGAAATATTGATTTAAAATAGAATTAAGGTCTGAGGCTGGAGAGACGTGTTAGTGGTTAAGAGCACTTAGTTCAGCTGGGCATGGTGGCGCACACCTGTAATCCCAGCACTCAGGGAGGCAGAGGCAGGTGGATTGCCATGAGTGCGAGGCCAGCCTGGTCTACAGAGCGAGTTCCAGGACAGCCAGGGCTACACAGAGAAACCCTGTCTTGGAAAATAAAACAGAATGGAGCACTAAGTGCTCTGCAGAGGACCAGGGTTCATTTCCTACATGGTGGTCCATAGTACACCCACACCTCCAGTTTCGGGGGACCCAGCACCCTCTGCAGACTTCTGCCGGCACCAGGCCCACACATGGCACACAGACGTACACGCAGGCAAAACCTAGGCTTAGGGCTAATTCCACATGTTAGATGTTCTTTAAATCTTTATTTTCATTTACCGTATATGTGCCTATGCATGTGTGTGCATGCGCACGTAAACGACAAGGCACATGTGAAGGTCAGAGGACAACCTGCAGGGTCTGGGTCTCTTCTTCCAACAGGTCACTAACGTGGAACACAGGGATCAGACTCGGGTGGACAGGCACCTTTACTCAGAGAGCCATCTGCCTAGCCCTTTTTTCCTTTTCTTTCTGTCTTCATTCTTTCTTTTTTCTTTTTTTTAAAGACATAGTCTTATGCATCCCATGCTGGCCTGAAACTCACAACCCTACTGCCACAGCCTTCTTGGTAAGTTTAGAAGTTTTGTTCTCAGCGCTGGCGAGGTCTTCAGGGTCTTGCAGGATCTTGGCAAGTGCGGTATCCTAAGCTAGCCCTCCAGCTCTCGAAGGACCTTAAGGGCACATGTGGCACATGCTGTGTTCCTACTGGGTAGTGAGGCCCCACAGCTTCTCAATAGAATAACTTAGACAAAGAATTTAGCGTTTCTCTTTTTTTTGTAACCTATTGCCCTCTGACACAGTGCAGGGGAGGGCTATCATATCTGCCAGGAAGAAACTCTCCCTCATGGGCCCTCCCCTGAACTGAGCGGCCTGGGGTCCAGGGAGCAATGCGGCTCGCCTGGGCCTTACAGAAGTCGGAGGAGCAGCTGCAAGGAAGGCCCAGACTCCTCAGCCGGGCTCCAGCCACTTGCTACACTATTCAAAAGTACCTGGTGGGTACTTTTACTTCAGCAAATGGAACCCTGGGATAATGCAAGTTGGAGTGTGAGGTCCGTGACTCAGAAGGCGGGATCCCCGCGAGGGCGGGCACACTGTAGCGCTGTGGGCCGCGCTACTTGGAGGGGCGGCTCTTGTTGAAAATGAGGAAGTCCGAGAGGTCGTGCCACACGTTGCTGTCCTCGTAGAGGTAGGTCATGGAGGACCGCAGCGACGGCTGCAGCGTGGGCCGGTGGTACTCGAAGAGCCACAGCACGAGCCCCCAGATCACTGCCGTGTGCAAGGGGAACGGGTCCCACGTGAGCTTGGGGAGGTAGCCCTTCTCCACTCCCAGGCGGCACAGGGCGAACAGGACGCGTGACGTCAGGTACATGTTGATCTGCAGGAGAGAATGCCAGGTACCAGTCAGCGTGGCCACCGACAACCTTCACCTCCCACCCAGCCGTGGGCGCCGGCCATCTACTATGCGCTGGCTCCGCGGTTTTCAAAGTTACCATGTGGTGCGAGATGACGGAGGTGAGGTGCAGCAGGCATGTCTTTATGTGTGCGCGGTGCATGTGTGTGCCGGGTGCTGGGGCACATGTGTGGAGACCAGACAGACTCTGACTTCCTCAGTTCCCTCTCTAGCCTAAGTTTTGTTTTGTTTTGTTTTGTTTTCGTATCTTGGAGACAGGCTCTCCCTGAAACTAGCTATGTAGATCAGGCTGGCCTGGAACTCACACAGATCTCTGCTTGCCTCTGCCTCCTGAGTGCGGGGATTAAAGGCGTGAGCTACCAGGCCCAGTTCTGGCCTCATTTCTTTTTCTCTGTGTCAAGTTGACAAATACAGTAATTTTTTAAATGTCTTAATAATCCTTTCAATTTACAGCCAGGTGTAGTGGCACATGCCTTTCTTCAATTCCCACTGTGAGTTTGAAGCTAGCCTGGTCACACAGTGAGTTCTGGGACAGCAGGGGCTGTGTAGAGAGACCCTGTTTCAACATCCTTCCCCCACAAAGCTTTTAATGTCCAAACGTTTTTTCTTTTTAAAGATTTTTTTTTTTTTTTTTTTTTTTAGATCTAAAATCCACTCTTAATCTCTGAGCTAGAGATCCATCCTGCCCCCTACCCTATTTGTTGAGACAAGAGTTTTTCAGTGAACCAGGAGTACACCAATTTGGCGAGGCTGGCTGACCCTAAGTCCCAGGGATTCACCTCTTTCTGCCTCCCAAAAACTGGGATCACAGACAGATGCTTCTGTGCCTGTTTAAGAAGACAGTAATAAACTGGGTGTGGTGGTGAACACCTGTAATCAGGGAGACAGAGGCAGGTGGATCTCTGTGAGTTCAAGGCCAGCCTGGGCTACAAAATGAGTCTAGGACAGCCAAGGCTACACAGAGAAACCCTCTCTTGAAAAAAACAAAACAAGAAAAAAATAATTTATTTATTTGTGTGTAGGGTGATGTGCTTGTATATAAATATGTGTGTGTGTGTGTGCTGTGTATGTGTGTAGTGAGTGTGTGTAGTGTGTGTGTGTGTGTGTGTGTGTGTGTGTGTGGTGTTAACTTGAAAAAGTTGGTTCTCCTATGACGTGGTTCCAGGGATCAAAGCCAGGTCATCATGTTTGTCAGCAAAGCACCTTAACCTGCTGAGCCATCTTGCCAGCCTTTGCCTTTTTATTTTTCCTTTTTTGTTTGTCTTTTGGTTTTTCCAGGCAGGGCTCCTCTGTGTAGCCCTGACTGGCCTGGACTCACTCTGTAGATCAGGCTGGCCTTGAACTCAAGAGATCCACCTGCCTCTGTCTCTTGAGTCCTAAGATTAAAGGTGTGTACCACCACCCCTGGCCTTAGTGTGTGTGTGAGCGTGTGTGCATGTGTGTAAGCCAGAGAATACTATCAAGTGTTGTTCCTCAAAAGCTATCCACCTTGTTTTGTTTGTTTGTTTTTTAATCTTTTTTTTTGAGACAGAATCTCTCCCTGCCCTGGAGTCACTGTTTGGACAGAGTGTCTGGCAACCAGAAAGCGTCAGGGATCTCCTGTGTCTGTGTCTCCAGTGAGGGCATCACAAGTAAGCATCAGAGTGCTTACCTTTTCATGTGGGTTTTGGGGACCAAACTCTGGGCTTCATTTTGCTTCATAAGCACTTTGCCAAAAGAACTACATCCCGTATTAGAAGCTGGGTTTGCTTGTTTGTTTTTTAAGACAGAGTATCACTATGGCGCCCTGGCTGTCCTGGACTCACTATGTAGACCTCGAACTCACAGAGATCCACCTGCCTCTGCCTCCCCTGCCAAGTACTGGGATTAAAGGCATGCAACCACTATGCCTGGCTCCCTTTTTAGAAATTTTTATTAGAAGTTTTAAAAACGAATTATAAGCAGTTCAAATATTTAAAAAGTGAGGCATAAGAAGGAGGAGAAAATTTTGGATATCCTTGCAATTCCATTTTTTTTTTTTTGTGAAGCTAGCTGGGTGTACATAATAAATTCCAGGCCAGCAGGGGATACATGAAAAGACCTTATCTCAGAGAAAGGAAAGCCACAGATGAGAGACATTCACAGCACATATCTGCAAGGCATTAGCACATAGACGATCTGAAAAAATGTCCTCAGAGCTCAAAAGAAAAATGTGAAATATTCTATTTGGAAAGTGAGGAAAAGACATAAATGTTTCATCAAACAGGATGTACAGATGGCAAATGAATGATAGTGAGGAAGTTTCCATATCATCAGCCACGAGGGAAAAGGCAACGTAAAGTCACAATGAGATGCACTATCACAATGGCTAAGACGGCCAGGGAGATGGTTTAGGGGTTGAGGGCACTTGCAGCAAAAGCCTGACAACCTGGGTTCCATCTCCAGAGTCAACAGTGGAAGGACAGAACCAACTCCCAAGAATTGTCCTCTAATCTACACACATACATGACGGGAGATGCATGCCTGCACTCACAATCATATCACACACACACACACTAAAAACTTTAAAACATGGATAAAATATACCATGCAGTAAACCAATTTTTAGCATAGCTGTAGAGAAACTAGACAAGCCAATCCGATCTCCATGGTGATAATGTAAACAGGACAGTCACTCTGAAAAACAGTTTCTTAGAAGGCTGCTGGGTTGCCTGTCTCTGTCTCTCTGTCTGTGTGTGTGTGTGTCTCTGTCTCTCTCTCTGTGTCTCTCTCTCCCTGTCTCTGTCTTTCTCTCTGTCTCTTTATGTGTGTCTCTTTGTCTTTGTCTCTGTCTCTGTCTCTCTGTCGTCTTTCTCTGTCTGTCTGTCTCTGTGTCTGCCTGCCTGCCTGTCTCTCTTTCTCTTTCTCTCTCTCTCCTCCCTCCCTTTCTCTTCCTTTCTTGGCAGGTTTTTTTAAACCAAGCATGCATATACCACACAACCCACAATTACACTCTTGGGCTTTTATCCCAGAAAAATGAAAACTTATGTTCACAGAAGAATATGTTCTTCTCAGATCTACCTGTAATACCCTACAGCTAGACACTTCAAATGTCCTTCAAAGGATGATTATAAAAAAAACAAACAAACCCTTTGGTACTTCTATACTACTTAGGGATAAATTAAGCCAGACTGGCCATACTTGACTATAATCCCAGTGCTCTTGAGGCTCAGGGAAAATTGCCAAGACTCAAGGCCATCTTGGGCTACAGAGCAAGACAATATAAGAAAAAAAAAAAAAAAGCTGGTTGTGGTGGCATATGCCTATGATCCAAATACTGGGGAAGCAGAGGCATCAGGAGTTCAAGGCCAGCCTCAGCTATATATTGAGTTTGAAGCTAGCCTGGGTAACATGAGACCCTCTCTTAAAAAAAAAAAAAAGAAAAGAAAAGAAAAAGAAAAGGCTGGAGAGATGGAGCATTTGCTGCTCTTGCAGAGGACCAGGCTCACCAACACCCCAATGGCTGCTCACTACTTTCCGTAACTCCTGTCCCAGAGGATCCAACACCCTCTCTAGTCTCCCCAGCATCAGGCATCAGGCGGTGCACACACGTACATGTAGGCACACACTCAGGCACATAAAAGAAAAATAGTTTGTTTTAAAAGAAAGAAAGAGCTGGGCAGCGATGGCTGGCACACATCTTTAATCCTGGCACTCAGGAGGCAGAGGCAGGCTGATCTCTGAGTTTCAGGACAGCCTGGTCTACAGAGTGAGTTCCAGGACAGCCAGAGCTATACCAGTCTTGAAAAACCTCAAAAAACAAACAAACGAAAAAACAAAAAATCTGGGGCTGGAGAGATGGCTCAGCCGTGAAGGACATTCACTGGCTACAGTGGCTGCTCTTTCAGAGGACAGAGATTCAGTTCCCAGCATTCATACAGCAGCTCACAATCATCTGTAACTCCAGTTCCAGGGGATCCAATGTCCTCCATGGATACCAGGCATACATATAGTGCATAGACACACATATAGGCAAACACACATATGTAAAAACATCCTCAGAAACCCTTTTTACAGGGCTGGAGAAATAGCTCAGAGGTTAAGAACACTGGCTGTTCTTCCAAAGGTCCTGAGTTCAATTCCCAGCAACCACATGGTGGTTCACAACCATCTATCATGAGATCCGGTGCCCTTTTCTGGCGTGCTAAGGTGTACATGCAGGCAGGACATTATATACATAATAAATAAATCTTAAAAAAAAAAGAAAAGAAAAGAAAACCTTCTTACAAGATGAAAATGTGTCCACAGACTTCTCATTTCTAGGCCTCCAACAATGCACAAGCTACAGACGGCCGCTGTGTGTGTGTATGACGGCCGAAGGCTGGTCCCCCTCCCCTATGCCCACGCAGATGGCACTGGGGGAAAGTCCCTTCCGTGCCCAAGCAGCAGGCACTGGCTCTGTCAGCAGCTTTAATTTTCAGGGAAATGGGAACTTCTGTTTCCATTTATTTTCTGATTTTATCATGATGTCTCTAAGTACTTGGGAGGAGACAGGCAGAGTCTGCCCTTTCAACAGATACTGGCCACCCATGCTGCCCTTCCTGTGCCCTTCCTGTCTTTTTCCACCAAAGAATCAGTCCATTTCATATCAGCTACCAAGTTTGCAAAAATAGTCATAGTAATCCATGGTATTAAAGATCTTTAAAAAAATGTATTCTGCTTATTATTATTGTATTTTAGGGGGAGGATGCAGGGCATGTATGCCATAGCACAAATACAGGGTCAGAGGAAAACCTTCAGAAGTCGGTTCTTTCTTTCCACCGAGCGTGAGTCCCAGACATCAAATTAAGTTGTCAGACTTAACAGCAAGCAACTTTTTCTGGTGAAGTACCTCACAAGGCCCTCAGAGTTGTTCTCTCTCTCTCTCTCTCTATCTGTCTACCTACCTACCTACCTACTTTTAAGACAGGTTCTCTCTACGTAGCTCTGGCTGTTCTGGAACTCACCGTATAGCCCATGCTGGCCTCAAACCCATAGATACCTTCCTGCCTCTGCCTCCTGAGTGCTGGGGATCCTTAGGTCTTTTAATGTACACAGACATTCGACACATAACCTGTGTCATTTCTAGTACTGGTAGAAATCTCTGTAGGTGATCCTGGGGGAGAGGCGTACTAATTTTGTTCATCTTTTCAAAGAACCAGCATTTCTCTTTTGATTTCCTGTTTTCAATTTCCCTGAGCGCTATGTGTCTGCTTTGAGATGCGGCCCAGGCTGGCTTCTAATTGGTGACTTAGTCTCCTCAGTCTCTCAGTGTCCCACCATACCCAGGTCAAAGTACATTAAAAAAAAAAAAAAAAAAAAAAAGACAGACTGCAGAGATGGCTCACCAGTGAAGAGCATTTGCTGCCCTTACAGATGACCGACCTAGCACCTCTATAGGGTGGTAATTCCCTGTCCAGAGATGTTAACAGCCCCTTTAGGCCTCCATGCACACCCACACAGAAGTACACACCCACACACAGAGGCACCTGCACATTAGTAAACGGCTAAGAACTCATGGCAGCATCCAGGTGATGCATATCTGTAATGGCAGCACCTGGGACAAGGCAAGAATCTGAGGAGGAGTTCAAGGCAAGCCTCAGCTATACAGCAAGCTCAAGGCCCACCTGAACAGGACAAAACCTGTCTCACCACCACCACCAAAATCCTTGTCCCACAGAGCAGCAGACACACTGATGTGGGGAGCCCTTGGATTCCAACTGTGACTTGGTCTACAGATGGGTAAAATTGCAGTGATTGGTGGCGGCCCGAGCCTACAATCCCAGTGTTCAAGAGGCACATGCAGAGGCAGGTGGATCTCCATGAGTTCAAGGCCAGCCTGGTCTACAGAGTGACGTCTACAGGACTATACAGTAAAAGGTTGTCCCGACCCCCACCTCCAAAAATGGGAAAACTGAGGGAAAAAGCAACCCTTCCAAAGGTCACACAGGGACCTGAGAGACTCAGACCTCAGACACAGACAATGGCCAAGAGTTCATCTTCTTGGCCATCACCTTCTCTCAAGGAAAGGGCACCCCGCTGGCCCTGTCCCACCCCAGGAAAGCCTTTACCTGGCTATTGATGTTATTGTTCTCCCCAAACAGCAGGATGCCCCCGATGAAGGCAGCCAGGAAAGAGTGCATCTGGTGTGTCTCGCCTTGCACGTGGGACTGGAGGGCACAGAGACTCTTATAGGTGAACACAAAGCAGGCCAGGTTCCGAGAGTGGAGGTACGTGGCTTTCAGAATGGCCTCCAGCTTCTGTCTGAGACTGCACAAAAAGAAAGCCCCCATGACTACAGGCTCAGCTGGTCCAGGCAGGTTCCCCAGGAGAAGACACAGATCTGAATTAGGCAAGGATGCTCCACGTCCTCAGGGGCAATGCTCTCTCACCAGATGGGGACCTTAACTCAGCGTCACCACCTCAGAGGGCCACTCCTGGTCACCTTTCATCAATGAGTACCCCTTTCTCTGCTATTATTTCCTTCATGGCTCTCATCACCATTTAACATTTTAGGCTGGCCTATAAAGTCCCACTGTCCTCAGTATAAGCTCCTACAAAGCAGGGTCTAGATCTTGCTTGTTCATCCTAGAGGCACAAAACAGTGGCCCGGCACGCAGTAGGTGCTTAACAAATGGAAGAGGTGAGCGAACCGTGAATAAATGAGTGAGTGCCTATTGTGAGCTGAATCTGCAGATAGAATTCTGAGAAATGACAGATCTGTGTTCTGCCTTGTGGCGCTTCTGAGGGGAAAACATAATTATCAAGACAGGAATCAAACATCGGCTTTGACGAGAGGTGGTCCTAGACTCTGAAGGACAGGGAGGTATCTGTGAGGAGCATGCTGCTCCCTGGGCAGAAGACTCGCCACAGGCAAAGGCCCCCAGGACAGACCCAGAGGAAGGGAGCAAAGCAATGGAGAGAGGCCAGTGTGGGCTCGAGAGAGAGCCAGGAGCAGGCACTGTGTGTGGAGAAGGGAGATGAGGTCAGCTACCTGCACGTGCTCTTCCTTTTGAAATAAAGAATTGATTCAGTCCATCTTCTCTTCGTGTGTGTGTGTGTGTGTGTGTGTGTGTGTGTGTGTGTGCGCGCGCGCACGCGCTCAGAGATCTACCTGCCTGTGCCTCTTGAGTACTGGGATTAAAGGAATATGCCACCATGTCCAGCTATGAGTAACATGTTTAGAGCAAGAAAATTGGATTGCAGCTTGGCATGGTGCCATACTCCTGGGTGAAACGGGAGGAGTGAGAGTTGGGGACCAGCCTGGGCTACAGAGCAAGACCCTCTCTCAAAGACTAAAGCCAGGCGTGGTGCCGCTCACCTTTAATCCCAGCACTCAGGGAGACAGAGCAGAGTCTGGTGGATCCATGTGAGTTCGAGGCCACCTTGGTCTACAGAGCAAGTCCAGGAGAACCAAGGCTACAGAGAGAAACCCTATCTCAGAAAACCAAAACCAACCAAACAACCAAACAAAAAACTATAAACAAAAAGTAAGGCCAGACATAGTATTGCTGCCCTTTAATCCCAGCTCTTGGGAGGCAGAGGCATGTGGACTCCTGTTGAGTTTGAGGCCAGCCTAGTCTACACAGTGAGACTCTGCCTCAAAAAATGAAAATAAAAAACAAAACAACAAAAAAACCTGAAAAAGTAAGCAGGTAGCCAGCACTGCCCTTCCCCTCAAGATGTCTCTAAGTCTGGACTGCCTGCCTAGCCACCCAGATCTGGGCCACCACGCCAGAACATGCCATGGCTTCTTGCTACACACCTACTTCTGCTCCTGTCATTCCTTCCTCCCCCTCAGAGCCGTTCTCAACCAGGCAGCAAATGATTAATCTTCATGCTGTTAAACCCCAGGAAGCCATGGAACCTGTTCTCCCAGCTATTGGGGAAGCTGACTGAGGTAGGACTTGGGCCTTGCAGTATGCGGGCAGACTGACAACACAGCTGGACTTCATCTCAAGGAGCAAAAAACAAAGAAACCAAAACAAAGAAACAAAACCCCCAAACATACAAAGCCTCTGGAGAAGGGTTGGAGAGATGGCTCAGGGGTTAAAGAGCACATACTGCTCTCACGGAGGACTCGAGTTCAGTTCCCAGCACCCATGGGAGGTGGCTCACAACCACTTGAACTCAAGCTCCAAAGGCTGTGACACCCTCCTCTGGCCTCCAAGGGCACCCGCATTCATGTGCACACATTCAGGGATAGAGAATTTTTTGCAGGAGTGGGGGGGGGGGGGGGGGGGAGAGATTTGAGACAGAGTTTCTCTATGTAGCTATGGCCGTCCTGGAATTCTCTCTGTAAACCATGCTGGCCTCGAATTCATAGAGATCTGCTTGCCTCTACCTCCCAAGTGCTAGGATTAAAGGCCTGTGCCACCTCCCTGGCCAGAGATATATAATTTAAAATGGAATAATTAAAGAAAAAAAAATCTCGCAGGAAGTCAAACAGTGGCATTTCTCCCCACACTCAAAATGTTACAATTTCCTGTTCTCACTTAAAAGGAGAGCCAAGCTCCTCTCTCCGGCTTAGAGCTGGGCATACATGGCCCAGTTCCTGCTATGGCCTTCTACGCCTCTCCCTTTCAACCTGTTTGTGGCCAACTTCTCAAACTCAGCCCCACCTCTGGCCCTTCCTGGCCATTAGCAGCTTGTGAACTCTTTTCCCTAATATCATTAATGTTCATTTTCTGCTACCTCCATCTAAAAGATAAGTCATAAAAAGGCAGGGATCTTTGTCTGTTTTGTCCACTGCTATATCCTTAGCAGCCCGAACAGTGTCTTATCACACAACAGATGTTCATTAAATAGTTGGTGATTAATGAATAAATTCAGGGTTTTTGTGTTTGTTTTTTTCAAGACAGGGTTCCTCTGTATTTCCCTGGCTGTCCTGGAACTGGCTCTATAGACCAGGCTGGCCTCAGGAATCTCACAGAAATCTGCCTGCCTCTGCCTCCCAAGTGCTAGGATTAAAGTTGTGTGTCACCACTGCCCAGTTTTGCTCTTTGTTTTTTAAGATTTATTTTTATGTGGAAGAGCATTGTGCCTGTATGTATGTATGTAAGCGCACAGTGCACATGCCACGTGCTCTCTGAGGCCAGAGGAAGGCGCCGATCCCCTAGAGCTAGAGTTAATAGTTACTATGCTGGAAACTGAAGCTGGTCCCCTGTAGGAGCAGCAAGTGCTCTTAACCACTAAGCTGCTTCTCTAGTTCCATAAATTCAAGCTTAAAAAAAAATATGTGTGAAGTGTGGTGCCCATATACCTTTAATCCCAGCACTCAGGAGGCAGAGGCAGGCGAATGTCTGAGTTGGAGGCCAGCCTGGTCTACAGAGCTAGTTCCAGGACAGTGAGGGATACATAAGGAAACCCTGTATCCCTAAAAACACACACAAAAAGAGGGGGGTGGTGGCTAGAGAGATGGCTCAGAGGTTAAGAGCACTGGCTGCTCTTCCAAAGGTCCTGAGATCTAGTGCCCTCTTCTGGCGTGCAGGCATGCATGCAGGCAGAACATTGTATATATAATAAGTAAATAAATAAGTATATCAATCAATCAATCAATCTTAAAAAAAAAAAGGGTTTAGGATCCTGTCTCAAAAACTAAACAAAACAAAAAGAGTTGGGGCTATAGCTCAGTGCCAGTGTGTTTGCCTACTATGTTCCTGGCTCTGGAGAGAGAAAGAAGGGAAAAGAAAAGGAAAGAAAAGAAAGGGAAAGAAAAGGAAAAGATAAGCTTTGGAGGGCAAAAAGCCCCAACAACGACGAAATAAAAATGCTAAAACAGAAATCTTTCGACTCTCACTCAGCCCGCCCTCAGAGAAACCGATGCCATCATCACCCCAATCACTGTGTCTGACTCTTGTAAGCTGCAGATGTGTCTGTAGCCATAAGAACTGGACTGCAAGGCATTTTCTGAGCAAGGCCTTGAAGGAAGAGTTATAGGGACTTTTGAGTCCCAGCGCACTGAAGCAGGCGAGGGGAGATCACAGACAGATCCCCTGAGGACGGACAGGTAGGAAGAAAATGAAGGCTGGAAGAGGACAGGCCACTCCTGGAAGTGGGCATGCACCAGAAAACGTGTGGGGGCAGGAGTACCAAAGCATGTGCCTGGAACAGAGCCTGTGTGCCAAGGAAGCCCACAGCGGACGTTGTAGAGACTCAACTGTGGCCAGACTGCAGAGGCCTTCAGGTCTGGTGGCTGGGTCTCTTTGGAGACTAGTGAGGAGCCACAGGCGTTTTCAAGCAGGGGACACAGGATCCCACTTGGACTTTAGGAAGCACAGCCTCATATAGGAAACCTCCACACCCATCCTGGCCTGAGGGCTGATCACATGCGTTCTCTCCCAGTTGGTATGCAGAGAGGGTAGGTACCTGCCACTCCGGAAGAGAAAGGTCATGACCAGTGCATGAGGCGCCCGGATTTTGACTCCATAGCTGTAGAAACAGAAGAAAACATTTACTAACCCATCACTGTAGCAGTTTCCAGGCCCTCCCTTTGATCCCTGGTCCTCTCCTCCCACCCCGGATTCTGATACCACAATGTTGGCTGCCCAGTTATATCTGGGTTCAAGTTCTAGAGTGGCCTTTGACTTATCTTTACCTTCTGAGAGCCTCAGTTTCCCTAACTAAAGGAATAGAGGCAAGGTATAACTCCGATGGAATAAAGTAAAGTGTGCAGGAAGCACCCACCACTCCTGCCCACCTGGCTTCCCAGAGATGCTCCCTCTGTTCCTCCCAAGCCTTCCTACTGCAGCCAGGCACAGCTTTTATTAATTTTAAATCAGTTAAATACACTGACTTATTGTTATCACTAACTTTTTTTTTTATCACATTTACTCACTGACACAGAATCTTACTCTGCAGCACTGGCTGGGCTGGAACTCACCTATACCTAGCCTCAAACTCAGAAAAGCCGAGTGTAGTGGCTGCACACCTTTAATCCGAGCACTCAGGAGGCAGAGGCAGGTGGAGCTCTTGAGTTTAAGGCCAGCCTGGTCTACAATGCAAGTTCTAGGACAGCCAAGGATGTTATACAGAGAAACCCTGACTGAAAAAAACAAACAAATATTAAACAAATAAATAAAAACAAAGACCCCAGCCTCATAGAGACCTGCCTGCCTATACCTCCTGAGTGCTGGGATTACAGGCATATGCCTCCATGTCCATTATTATTATTGCTTTGGTGGATTTGAAAATTAATAATTTTGTGTATGTGTGCTAGCTAGTTTTATGTCAACTTCACACAAGTGATAATCATCTGAGAGAAGGGAATCTTAATTAAGAGAATGCCTCCATAAGATCATGCTGTAGGCAGACAAGCCTGTGGGGCATTTTTTTTTTTTAATTAGTGAGTGATGGGGAGGGCTGAGGCCTTTGGTGATGTCTGGCAGGTGGTCAGGTTTTTATAATAAAGCAGACTGAGCTGGTGGTGGTAGCACAGGCCTTTAATTCCAGCACTCGGAAGGCAGATGCATACAGATCTCTTGAGTTCAAGGCCAGCCTGATCTACAGAATGAGTACCAGAAGAGCCAAGGCTACACAGAGAAACCCTATCTTGAAAAAAAAAAAAAAAAAGTAGACCGAGCAAGCCATGAAGAGCAAGCCAGTAAGAGGCACTCCTCAGTGGCCTCTGCATCAGCTCCTGCCTCCAGGTTCTTGCCCAGCTTGAGTTCCTGCCTTGGGTTCTTTCAACGGACTGTGACTCAGGATATGCAAGCCAATAAACCCTTTCCTCTCCAAGCTGTTTTTGGTAATGGTGTTTCATCATAGCTTGGTAACCACAGGTAAGACAAGTGCATGCCGCAGCATGTGTGCGTGAGAGAGAGAACAGCTTGCAGGAGTCAGGTTTCTCTTTCTACCCAGAAATCAAACTCGGGTCTTCAGGACTGGCAGTAAGTGCTTGTTACTCACTAAGCCATATGACCAACCCTGGCTTGCTTTTGTTTGTTTCTGTGTGTGTGTGTGTGGATCTCAAGTAGCCGGTCTCCATAGCTGACACTGGCCTAGAACTCCTGATCTTCCTACCTGCACCTCCTCAATGCTGGGATTATACCTGTGTGCTACAGGGGTGCCTAGTTTAATTTATTATTTATGTGTGTGTGCGTGCCATTCATGTATGATGCCGTTGGTGTCAAGATGAGGTGTCAAATCCCCTAGAGCTAGAGTTACAGGTGGCTGTGAGCTACCAACTGCGGCTGCTGAGACCCAAACTCAGGCCCTCTCCGGAGCAGTGAGTGCTCTTAACCACTGAGCAATCTTTCCAGCCCCCACGCCTGGCTTCTTATTCTTTTTCATCAGACACCTTGTGCTGGGTAGGTTTTACATCAGTTTGATGCAGGCTGAGTCCTCTGAGAAGAAGGAGCCTCAACTGAGAAAGTATCTCCAGGAGATTAGGCTGAAGGCAGCCAAGCCTGTAAGGCATTTTCTTAATCAATGATTGATGGGGGAGGACCCAGAACCCTGTGCGTCCCAGCACCTCTGGGCCAGTGGTCCTCAGTTCCGTAAGAAAGCAGGCTGAGCAAGCCATTAAGCAGCATTCCCCCATGGCCTCTGTCTGTATCAGCTCCAGGTTCCTGTCCAGTTTGAGTTCCTGGCTGGCTTCCTTCAACAGACTGTGACTCAGGCTGTAGAAGTCAAACAAACCCTTTCCTTTCCAAGTTGCTTTTGGCCATGCTATTTCACCATAGCAATAGTAACCCTAAGGTACACCTTCACCCTCATTTCTACAGCTGAGTCTAGCCTTACAGTCCTAAAATCCCTGAAGGCCTGAAACAACGGTTATGAGCCACATACTGTTGTCACCTGAATATTCACTGCGGGCCTCAAAAAGAGAGGGGCGCCAGCACTCAAGAGGCGGAGACAGGTGGAACTCTGAGTTTGAGGCCAGCCTGATCTGCATAGCAAGTTCCAGGACAGCCAGGAATACAGAGAAACTATGTCTTAAAAAAGGAGGGGGGCAGGGGAAGAAAGTACTCCACTGGCACACGCCATTAGCCTGGTACTTACATGAAACAACAAATTGCAAGAATCAGGCACGGGATAAATAGTTCAGAACGTAAGGTGCTGGCACAGTGAACATGAGGTGCCACATAAGAACCCACTAGTGCAGCGGAGCTCATCAGCAACCCAGACTGTGGAGACAGACATGGGCTCACTGGTGTGCCAGCCTAGCCAGTGCATGAGCCCCAGTGAGAGACACTGCCACAAAACCCAATACAAAAAGTGATGAAGGGCCAGGCGTGGTGGCACACGCTTTTGATCCCAGATCTTGGAGGCAGAGGTGGGTGGATCTCTATGAGCTCAAAGCAAGCCAGGTCTACAGAGAGTTCCAGATCAGCCAGGGCTACACAGAGAAACCCTATCTCAAACAATAATTTGGGGCTGGAGGAGATGTCTCAGTGGTTAAGAGCAGAGGATCAGGTTCAGTTCTCAGCACCACATGGTGACTTAAAACCATATATCTCCAGTTCCAGGGGATCTCCAATGCTCTTCTAGCTTCCACAGGTACCAAGCATGCACAGGGCACATAAACATACATGCAGGCAAAACATTCATACACATAAAATAAACATATCTTAAAAAGTAATTAATTTTTAATTTTTTAAAAGAAAAAACGAAGGTCAGAAGATGAAGAAAATAGTTCCATATTCAGCCTAAGGATTTGTTTTAGTCTGAATCTTCAGCATTACGGTTTGAGGGTTTGAGCTGGAGGACAGGCCCACAGAAAGTGCCATGGCTGGGAAGGACACAGAAAGAGTGGAATGACGCTCGAAGCCTAACTGGGAAACACCTGCTGGCTCTGGGGCCGAGTCTCTGGGATTCAAAAGAGCCAGGTGGAAAAGCATGGCTGTAGCGAAGAGTGTAAGGCGAGGGCGCTGATCCCTAAATCTAACCTTTCAAAAGAAGAATGTCGAAGGTGTGGGGACGTTAGGTGTGCTTGTGAGTGCACACGGCACCCTGGACGAAGACGCAAGAGACTCGCACAGGGGCTGTCTACAGAGAGGGACTCAGGACAGAGGGCGTTCTCGAAACTTCAGAGTTGGGGATGGAACTCAGGGCCTCCTGCGTGCTAATCCTGTACTCTGCCAGTGAGTTACACTCCTGGCTTAGCAGCCCACTTTTTGTCTTTCGTGAATGTGTCACCTAACTTTTAAAAAATAAAATTAAAGAAAAAAATATAAAGTTAACAACTTTAAATGGCGCCTTTCTTGTTTTTCCCAGAAGCTACTGTGATACTCTTATCTTCGCCTCTGCCTGGCAGTGGCCAGGAGTTCCCATCTCAGTCCCTGTGGCCTTGCCTCCCCCAGTCCATTAAAAACCTTATCTCCTCCTGCTCCAAGGCCTTCAGCCTCCTCCAGGCAGCCAGGAGCAGGCTGTCCTCAAGTCCCTACATCTGAGAAACCCCTTCTTAGGCTCCTCAAATTCAGGTAAGATTACATCACACGTGTAATCTCAGAAACTGGATGGCTGAGACGGGAGGACCCCGAGTTCCAGGCCAACTTAAGTTACCCTGGGTTTTTGCTGTTGTTTTGCTTTTAATGAAAATAGAGGCTAGCAAGACGTCTTGGTCAGTAAAGCGTTTGCCTTGTAAGTGCGAGGGCTGAATTGGATTCCTTGGACTCATGTAAAGAGCAAGGAGAGGTGGTGGGTACCGCTCTCCCAGGAAATGGTGAGAGAGGACGCAGAGAAAGGCAGCAGATGCTTGGAGCTTCATGGCCAACTAGCCGAGCCTACTTGGTGACATGTCAGGCCACTGAGACCCATTCTCAAACAAAAAAAGAGAGAGGACTGACACGGAGATGGTCCTTGGACCTCCACGGGTGCTGGCATACATGAACAGGAGACAAGTAAAACTCGTGAAGTATTTAGGGGTGAGTTAAATGGTCACAAAGTTCAAACATCTCAGTCACCCACGCTGACCTTTCCAAACTGATGGCCTCCCCACCATACAGCAGTTTTGTTTTTTCCCTGCCTCCAGGTCTTTGTTAAAGACATTTCCATACCCAGGATGCCCCTTCCCTTTTCTCCCTGGAAAACTCCATATCACCACCACTTCCCCTGAAAAGCATTCCTGAATACCACTTTGCTCTGATGTGGTATTTGTTTGTTTTGTTTTTGGTTATAGAGTCTTGCTATTGAACCCAGGCTAGCCTCAAACTCTCCATCCACTTGCCTCTAATGAATTCTAATCCTCCGTGTGTGCCGCCATGCTTAGCGCTATTTCGGTAGTGTGTGAGAAGTCCCTTGGACTTCCAGCCCTTAAGGACAGGCCCCGCATCAGCACCACTAACAAGTATTGAGGCCCCTGCCCTGGACACTCGGGAGTGGCTGAGCTCAGTTCTAATTGTACAGAGGAGGAAACGAAGAGCAGAAGAGACAAAGACTCATTCATTTTGCACAGTGCAAGCACTGGGGTTAGGGCCCAAACACCTGGCCCTGGAAAGTGTCTGTCCTGGCTGGGAATGTCCACTGAGGTGGACACACTGAGAGGCGGCATAGGGGCGGCCGTACAAAGCCCAGATTGGGCAATACTTGCTGGCCCAGGGGCCAGCTCCTGCTCTGTACAGATAACCTGGCAAAGAGGCTGCTGATACCTCAGGGCTCATGTCATCCTGGTCAAAAGTGTCTGCTATGATCTGGCCAGATCCAGCAGGAGCCAGGTTCTACCTGACTAAATGTCCATTCTGAGTGCGAGTCCTGACTATAACGCTGACACGATGTGACCAGGAGCAGTCGACAGACCCCTCAGTCACCGACACAAGAGTTGTTCCTAGTTTTCAAAAAGTCACCCAAGGAAAATTTGAATGCCTACAATGGAGGAAGAACCAGGAAGCATAGAGGGACAACGTAACTAAGAAAGAAAGAAAGAAAGAAAGAAAGAAAGAAAGAAAGAAAGAAAGAAAAAAGTATGTCTTATGGCAGGGTCTCACACTATAGCCTACACTGACCTGGAACTCACTACTTTGCACAAGTCGGCCTGTTTCAGCCTCCTGAGTATTGAGATTAGGGGCGTGTACAGCACACCAGACTGAGGAAGCACACGTTCTAGCCAGAGACATGGACTATGAAATTATTCAGCTCTTGAGGACGATGAGCTGAGGCAGGGGATGGAAAGTTCAGAGACAACACCTAAGCAGCAGTCTTAAAAGGGTTTGTGAGGCAGGTAGATGGCGCATGCCTGTAGCAATAGCCATCAGTGTGCTCGGAGTCCTCAAACAGGACCACGGAGGTACCCGGGAGACCCATTTCCCAGAAAGGCGTTCAAGGAAACGTAGCTGGCAGCAGGCTTCAAATCCTGGCGGTTGACTGGCTCAGCACCATGCCATGCCCTGCTACCAGGATGCCAGCTTTCGGACAGAGGCTTTGCTTTCTTCTCTGGGTCAAGGCTGGTTCTGAGACGGCAGCCCCGTGAACCCATGAGGCTTAAAGAAGGTGGAACACCCCCCCCCCCCAGGCACCAGGCAAGCAAAACGACCCCAAGCTCTCCTCTCCTACCTGTGTGAGGGGGTGAAGTCAATTTACCCAGCAAGTATTAGCTGCCGTTTTTTTCTTTTTTCATTCATTGTCACTTCCCAGGAGTCACCAGTGAAAATGAGGGCCGAGGTGAAGTCACCACATAGATGAGAAATGGGTTGTGAAGCCTTGGCAGCTGAGGAGGGGAAACCTACTAGCCAGTAAGTGACCACCTCCCTGTTAAGGGCAGAGTCCAGTTTCTTTTGTGCATACTGAGCCACCGAAGCCAAGTAGGCCAAAGGGCACACGACAAGATGGGGTGAACCGGACCCAAATGAGGAGATACAGGTGCTGGCATAGGAGGTAACTAAGCCAAGAGTATCAGGTTAGAAAGCACAGAGGAGCTATGAGCAGGCTAGCGGGAGTCCCAGCTCAAGACGGACAAGGTGACAGGAACCCAAAATCCTCCGCTCGCTGCATCCATGGGGCACTGAGACCTACGGACACCCGAGGGCTCCTGGAGAGAGAGAGAGCACAGCGCGGTGGCACCGGGCCTCGAACTCGGGACCCCAGGTAGGCCCGTCCCCTAGCCATCCCTGACCGGACTCCGCGGCCCTACTCACACAGCCCCGTTCCGGAAGCCCTTAAGTACGGCCAATGCAGCGTGGTAGCGGCGCTTGCGCAGCAGCGTGTTGACAGCCTGGAGAAGAGCCCGCAGCTGCGGCGGGGCGGCCATAGCACCGGAGCGCTGAGTCGGAGAGCCCGGCTGGACGCGTTCTGACAGCCCCGGCTTCCAGATGCACAGCTCACGGCATTGGGGAGCACCGCCCCGTCGTCGGACCCATAGGCTGAGTCTGCCGTCACTCCTAAGAGAAAGCCAGTCACAGAGCACACTTGTGGCCAGGGGCGGGGACGCGCCCGCTCTCCGGAATAGCTGTCTGATTGGAAGAGAACGGAGAGTTGGTAACCAATCGCCTTGACTCGGAAGGTCTCACGCCGGATTCGTCCAATCAGAAGGCAGTTTTCTTAGGGAGAAGTTTGGTTCATGGGGGGCTTGGGTGGGGATTGTTACCTTCTGCGAGTTGGGAGTGGGTGACTTTTGGGAGGTGACAGTGGTCTTATCTTCACACTTGGCACTTTCGATTGCCTCACAAGAATCGCAGCTAACCCTGTGGCTACACGTCTCTTTTGTTGCTGTTGTTTGGTGTTTTGAGACAGGATCGCTTGTAGCCCAGACTGGCCTTGAACTCCGATCCCCCTGCCTCTACCTCCCACACGCTGGGACTGCAGGCCGGTGTCATCATACCTGTCTTCTACTTGTTTTTAAAATACAAACTCTTTCCCAGGGCCCCCGGGAGCAGATTTATTTGATTGTAGGCCCTTGTCTCTCCTTCCACAGTCTCCCTTTTCTCCAACCGACTGACTTAGTTTCCATTCCTTGAGTATGAATCCTTCTGCTTCAAAGGAGTTGCAGCTGGTGGTCCGCTTTTGAGATTCATTGCCCCTGTGTGTCCCAGGACTGACTCCCTCTCAGTATTCAGGTGTTGCCTCAGGATAGCCCACAGACAGTAGCTCTGCTCACTCTGACTTATTAATCCCCGTTTTCCATTGTTGTTGTATCCTTTGTTTGTTTGCTTGTTTTTCTCTGTTGAACCCTTCACAAGTTGTAATTGCTACCACTTGCTCAATGTCCATCACCACGGACTGTGGCTTTCTTGGGGGCCAGAAAGCTGTTTGTCTCCTTTTCTGCTGTAACCCCAGCACCCAACACTAGTTTCCAGAACTGGTACTGGAAATTATCACTGCCAGAACACTGATGAGTGACATTAATCTATAATATTACGGTGGTAAAGGTCATCAGCTGTCAACCACACACTGAGTGCTGGCTGTAATTTACAAGGTTGTTCCCGGGTATTTGAGACACTTGATATCTATGGGTGTTATTGTCTAGGTAGTGTCAGAGGTTGGTAAAGGAAGTGAATTATGTTGAGCCTTTCTTCCTTTTGTGATGAGCAACTAGTGAATTGACTTAGTCCTCTAAAATCTGTGCAGAAAATGGTGTCTGCACACTAGGGATGTAGCTCAGTTGGTAGAATGTAGTCTAGCCTACAAGACACCCCAGCGTGATCTCTTCGCGTCATCAGGGAGTTTAGTAGCATACTCCTATATTCCCAAGATAAGAGAGGTGACTCCGGTAGCCCAGAAATTCAAGGTTGTTTTCAGCCATGTTCATAACAAGATTGAGGTCAGCTCTGAGATACGTGAGATCCTGTCTCAAAAGGATAGGGGAGAGGCTGCAGAGACAGCTCAGACAGTAAAGGTCTTGCCAGCTGAGCAGGAGGACCCAAATTCGGTGCTCAAAACCCCTAGAAAAAGCTGGGGTAGTGGAGTAGTGGGGTAGCAGGGCTGGGGAATCACTGGAGCTCACTGGGCAGCCACCCAGCTTGATTGATGGCCCTCGAGTCCTTGTTAGCAAACCGGTCTCAAAGAGACAAGGTAGACCTCTGGCCTCCACACACTTAGTATATGTGTGCCCACCCCCCACACACACACTGGTGAGACCGCATGTTTACAAATGCACATCCATATATGCACATTATATACAAATAGTGATCTCGTTGTGGGAATGTTTCCTCCTCCACAGGAGGCCTGCACACCCCTGCTGCCTTCCTTTATGTTGAGGACCGATGACTTTTGGTTGGTGACCAAGTCTCCAATGATTTCCAAGAAGCTCCATCACATTTTGCTGGTACTCAGCACCAACACTGATGAGCAGCAGGGGTTGGCCTTTGCCATTATTGATGTGAAAGGAGGGTGTGGAGCAAAGATATGCTCAAATGGTGTGGAACGCTGGAGGACTCAGAGGGTTCGTGAAACAGGTGATCACAGCCACACCAGGACAAGACCCTGACTTGAACACAAGAAAGATTGGCAGAAAGGTAGCCAGGCTCTGGCCAGTGTCTGCACATCAAGTTCTGTCAAAACCTAGGACACCTAATGAAGACTGAGACCCACACAGCACTGTGTCACTTCTGGCACTTTTGTGTCCAAGGCCCACACATCAAGACTGTTGGCCACTATTGCAGAGGAATTTTAATTCAGAACATGGCTGCTATGGCAAGAGATCACACCCAAAGACCTTCTGTGTGATCCGGCTGGAATACAAACATTCCTTTAATCCAGGAGACAGAGGCAAGCAGATCTGAGTTCAAGGCCAGCCTGATATAGAGCAAGTTTCAGTTAAGAAAAGCTTAGGTACAAGCATGGTGGCATATGCCTTCAATCCCAAACAAGGAAGGTAAAGTTAGTTTGTAGAAGGAAGAACCAGTGTTTGAAATTGATGCTTAATTGAGTGGCAGAAAAGGTGATGAATCAGAGAGATTTGACAGAATGTGCCCAAATTTCATGAAAAGAGAGAGGAAAGGGAAGCTACTTAATGGGCAATAAGAAAGAGAGAGAAGGCAGTTTTACCAGGATAGTAATGTAGAGACAGGTTCCAGAGAGAGAACTCAGGTGAAGACAGAATGAGCCAGAGAATGAGAAGGAGCCAGGAGATTAGAAAAGATTGCTGGAGTTAGTTTGAGGCCTAGGAGAGCACTTCAGGGGCATAGAGAGAAGCCAGATTAATTAAGTCAGCTGGGAGAGAAGTTTGAGCTAGAACAGCTGAGTTGAACGAGCCAGGGCAGAGCTCAGAAAGAACAAAAAAGGGTGAGCTTGTTAAGCAGTAAATCTCAGGCTGAAAACATTCTAGGCCTAGATTAGATGGTATAGAGGCCAGAAGCTCGCTGAACTAGGCCTAGGTTAGCAGAAGGAGGCAGTAAGCCTTGGAGACAACAATTATCTCAGGAGAATAAAAGTTCCTTTTGTAAACTATGGCCATGGGTAAATCTTCTGTTAGTCAATAGCTAATCTGTCCAATATGTCTATTTATATAATCTACTTATAAAAAGAGATGCTTAAAAGTGTGAAGAATGTCCAGGCCAGTTACTGAGGGAAAACTGGACACTAGATAACAAGAGGACCCAGATACTGAAGCACCAAAGCCACTTATGACATGAGAACCTTGAAAAACATCAAACATGTGACTTTCAATTTGTCAACCACACAGGTCAAGAGATACAAGAATGAAATCCAGGGCCTGTTCAAAGCAAGGAGGCTTAGAGCAGACTCTCCTCTCAAGTCAAGCTGAGATCTCCCCCTGGGGGAAAAAAAATCACCTTCCAGGCTAATGTGACAGGAGCCATTGTACAACCCCTTAGCCCTAAGGAACCAAAAGGGCTGCTTCAGAGCTGAACACAATAACTGAAAGAAAAAGAAAAGTGTAACTGGCATTTTCTACTTTGTGGGTTCTTCTTTCTTCCACCCTTCTCCACCCTTTTCTTCTTCCCTCTCGACCCCTTACACTAGATATAAGAGAAAAAAGGATATCGAGAAAAGGAAAGAGATCCCTGAATAAAGTCAGGGGTTGGAAAGAGGGTGTCATTATTGTTAGATTACTTTCTGCTGATTAGGAGCGTGGAGATGCTTGGGGAAAGTTTTATCTTCTTCAATGTCAAGATATCTAGTTTCTTCTTCTTGTTTCTTTTTGTGCATGACTACTTAACCACACTAACACCAAAACAACAACTCACCCAACAACCCACCATCAACTACCAACCACACCATTTCTAGACCCTCTCTGAAAAGTCCTCAGAATTCCAAAAGTCAGACAATTTCAGAGACTATCTGCAACTGGCAAAAAAACGCCCCTGCTAGAGCACAAGGCAAATCATAAGTCAGCTGCTGTAAAGCAGCCCCGTATCTGCACACCTGGGATTAAAATTAAAACAAATTGCCATACTATTTCTGTGTTTTTAAAAGAATCCAAAATCTCAAAGTTCTCACTACAGAGAGGGGAATTCTTTTTTAAAGGCTCTTTCTTGGAAAGTGTGGCTGATGAATGTGGAGCAGGGCTTGATATGTCAAGAAATCTCAAGCTACACCAACTGTGGTGTTGCACGCCTGTAGTCTCAGTCCTGGTGAGGCAGAGGCAGAGGGATCATGGATTTGAGTCCAGCCTGGGCTACCCTGTAAGACCCTCCTAAAGCAGGGCATTTGCCACCACACCTTATTCTTTTTTAAACATTATTTTTACTGTTGTTAAGTGTATATGTGAGTAAGTGAGTGTGTGTGTGTGTGTGTGTGTGTGTGTGTGTGTGTGTGTGTGTGTG